AATTCCCACCAGGCAACACTGTAACCTTCCCCACCTCTCTCTCTCTCAAGAATCCTCACATCCTATTTACTTAAGCATTAGTACCTTGCACCAAGGAAAGCAAGAAATTGCACAGTCTAAAATGGCAAGTGTGTATTTGTCTTAAGGTCCCAGACAGAGTTGCCTTGACATTCTCGTACTGGAAGGCAGAACTAAGAAATTTGGTAACTCTAGTTAATATCAAGTTGTTACTGTTTATTTCTTAGATATCTACAATAGTTTGAATCACAACACTCCAGATTTTAAGTCAAATACTATAACATAAGAATCTATGCAGTTCTTTAATTTCTTTTTTTATTTATTCCCTGACCCAAGGATGGTGCAATTGGGCATTATTCAATTTCTATGGGTTTTTATTGTTTTTGCAATTTGTGTTGTTGTTGAACTCTAACTTTAAAGCATGGTGTTCTGATAAGATACAGGGGGTTATTTTAGGTTATTTTAATTTTGTTGTACCTGTTGAGGTTTGCTATGTTGACAAATATGTGGTCCAATTTAGAGAAAGTTCCATGTGGCGCTGAAAAGAAGGTATATTCTTTTGTGTTTGGATGGAATGTTCTAAAGATGTCTGTTAAACCAAATTGGGTCATAACTTCTATTAGTTCCTTTGTTTCTTTGTTAAGTTTCTGTCTGGTAGTCCTGTCTAGTGGTGCAATCAGGGTGTTGAAGTATCCTACTATAAGTGTGTGAGGTTTTATGTGTCATTTGAGTTTTAGTAATGTTTCTTTTATGAATGTGGATGCCTTTGTATTTGGGGCATAGATGTTCAGAATTGAGACTTCATCTTGATGTGTTTCTCCTGTGATGAGTAGGAAGTGACCTCCTTCATCTCTTTTGATTGATTTTAGTTTGAAGTCTAATTTATTAAATATTAGGATTGCTACACTAGCTTGTTTCTTGGGTCCATTTAATTGGAAAATCTTTTCCCAACCCTTTACTCTGAGGTATCATCTGTCTTTGAAGTTGAGGTGTATTTCTTGTATGCAGCACAAGGATAGATTCTGTCTTCATATCCATTGTGTTAGCCTGTGTCTTTTTATAGGCCAGGTAAGACCATTAATATTGAGGAATATTAATGACCATTGATGGTTCATTCTTGTTTTTTTGGATTTGTTGGTGGCAGTGGAATTGTGTGTGGATTCTGCCCCCCCCCCAGTTTTCTTTTGACTGTTGGTAAAGTGGTATTATCTATTGCCTATTTTTTTCTGGTTGTAGTTAACTTCCTTGGGTTGGAGTTTTCCTTCCAGAACTTTCTGTAGTGCTGTATTAGTGCATATGTATTGTTTAAATCTGGTTTTGTCATGGAATATCTTGTTTTCTCCATCTATAGTGATTGAAAGCTTTTCTGGGTATAGTAGTCTGGACTGGCATCCGTGGTCTCTCAGTGTCAGAAGAATATCTATCCAGGACCTTCTGGCTTTCAGAGTTTCCATGGAAAAGTCAGGTATAATTCTGATAGGTTTGCCTGTATATGTTACTTGACCTTTTTCCTTAGCTGCTCTTAATATTCTTTCTGTGTGTTTGGGGTTTTGATTATTATGTGGCAAGGGGACTTTTTTGTGGTCCACTCTATTTGGTGTTCTGTAGGCTTCTTGTACTTTCATTGACATGTCTTTCTTTAGGTTGGGAAAATTTTTTTCTAAGATTTTGTTAAGTATGTTTTCTGCACCTTTGAGTTGGGTTTCTTCACCTTTTTCTATACCTATTATTCTCAGGTTTGGCCTTTTCATGGTGTCCCATATTTCTTGGATATTCTTTGGTTGCTGAGTCTGTTTCTCCTAGTGTATCTTCAACTCCTGAGATTCTCTCTTCCCTCTCTTGTATTCTGTTGGTTATGCTTGCATCTGTAGTTCCTGATCATTTACCTAGCTTTTCTATTTCCAGCATTCCCTCAGATTGTGTTTTATTTATTGTCTCTATTTCAGTTTTTAGATCTTGAACTGTTTCCTTGAGAGATTTGTTGATTTCTTGTATTTTTAGTTTGTTTTTTCTTCCATTTCTTTAAGGGATTTTTTCATATCCCCTTTGAGGGCCTCTATCATTTTCATGAAGTTGTTTTTAAGTTCATTCTCTTCTGCTTCCATCTGTGTTGTGATGTTCAGGTCTTGCTGGTGCAGAGTCCCTAGACTCTAGTGGTGTCATATTGGTTTTTCTGTTGTTGAATGTGTTTTTATATTGTCTTCTTCTCATCCCTTCTTCTGATGGGTGTCAAAAGGGTCTCTTCCTCTTCTGCTGGGTACGGGACCAAGGTTCCCTTCTGTGGGTGTAAACAGGTCCAATACTCTGATGTCTCCCCTCTTCCTGTGGATAGAGGCAGGACTGGTACCCAGGCCTTAGCAGTCTCTGGGTGGGGCAGATCCTACTGGAATGGAATCCACAGTGCACAGTCCCTAGGCCTCAGGGGTCTTTGAGCAGGGCAGAGGAAGGTGGGCCGGAAACAGGCCTAAGTCACCTATAGGGAGGAGTGATGATGATGAGCAAAGGGGTCAAGACCAGGCTGAAGAATGCCACAGAAACAGCTGAACTGAACAAGGGGTTGCTCATGGATCTCAGACTGATAGCTGGGAAACCAGCATAGGACTGTTCCAGACCCCAGGAACGAGGAGGACAGTTTGGAGGTCTTGACAATCTATGGGGCCACTGGTAGTGGATCAGTATTTACCCCTAGTACACAAATGAACTTTGGGAGCCCTCTCCACATAGAGGGATACTCTCTCAGGCTAGACACACTGGGGAAGGTCTAGGCCCTGCTCCAAATAATATGACAGACTTTGAAGATCCTCCATGGAAGGCTTCACCCTCCATGGAGAGCAGAAAAGGGTTGGGATGGGGGGGTCTGTTAGGGGACAGGAGAGGAGGGGAGAGTGAGGGAACTGAGATTTACATGTAAAAGAAGCTTGTTTCTAATTTAAATTAAAAAAAGAATCTATGCAGTTCACACTCCAAAGAACCAAGTTAAGATTCACTATCAAAGCTATCAAGCTACTCAGAAGAGACATAGGCATCATCATGATGTACTTGTAAATGGTCTCTTTCCCCTGTCTGTAGCTAGGATCAGTTGTATATAACTGTATATGACAGTTGAATATATCCAAATGGCTTGAAAATTGTTTATGTGTGGAGGGGCAGAAAGACAGAGAGACACAGAGTGTGTGTATGTGAGTGAGAGAGAGAGAAAGAGACAGATACAACAGAGAGAAAATGATGGGAGAGAGAAAGGCATGGCAAGGGAGAGATGGAGAGGGAGAGATACACAGAGAGATATACAGAGACACACATAGAGAGACACTCACAGATATTTACAGAGACACACACAGACATTGATGCATGGAGAGAGACACATAGAGAAAGAAACATGGAGACAGAGAGACAGAAAAAGCAACAGAAAGACATGGAGAGAGGGACATACCTACAGAGAGACACGGAGGAGAGACAGACAGAGACACAGGGGAGATACAACCACACAGAGACACACACACACACAGTACACACACAAAGACATAAAGAGAGAAACACACACACACACACACACACACACACACACACACACACGGACAGAGACAGAGATAGACACAAAGATCAGCAGTGAGACAGAGAGACATGGAGAGACAGAGACATGCACATACAGAGACACAGAGGGGGAGAGAGAGACCCACCTAGAAAGACACCCACACAGAGACACACAGAGAGATACACACACAAAGACACATGCAGAGAGAAACAGAGAAACACATGGAGGTAGACACAGAGATATGACATGGAGAGACAGTGAAGTCAGAGAAACATGGAGAGAGAGACATACACACAAAGAGACACAGACTAGAGAGAAAGGCAGACACAAAGGAAAACACACAGATACTGAGGACAGAGAAGTAGGACAAGGAGAGGTGGCAAAGACAAAAGAGACAAACATATGCAGAGATACAAACATACAGAGACTGAGGCAGAGGCGGAAAAACAAAAAACACACACACACACACACACACACACACACACACACATATATATATATATATATATATATATATATATATATATATCTTACTGTACAAGTGTATGTCATGAAATATTTAGGGCATAGTCATATTAAGATTGAATTTATTGGTTACAAGAACTTCATTTTAACTGAATATCCTATGTTCAATCTGGCAACCTCAGTACTTAGGTTGCTCACTGACTTGGCTTTTGATCTTAATTAAACTTTCACACTCCTTCTGGGTCTCATTTAATTTCATTTTCAATTGTCTGTCACTCCACTCTCCCTCTTCCTGCTTTATATATTTTAAAGTAGTAAGGAATTGAATGTTGTTTCATTTCTCTGAGACATTGCATTTTATACTAATTACTTTTCTCAATGTAAAATACATGTCTTTCCCCAAAGGAAGGAAGAGTTTATAAGGAGCTAAATAGGAGTGACAACCAATGCTTGGAAAAATGGGTCCAGGTTAGCTTGGAATAGTGTGTTCTTCTATCTACTTTTATTGTTGCTTATTAAAAACACAAATAAAAACATTTACCAAGAAGTCAGGCTACAATAGAATATCTAAAAGTGTTGTTCATATTAAAGACCTATAGACAATTTGACCTTAGCTGACTAGGACATTTCGATTACGGGATAAAAAGATACCATGCTGCAAGCAGAGGGACAAATTGTCTTTGGCTATCTTTACTCCCTTTTCACCAATGGAGGCTCATTAAGTATACAAACTACTCTTAAGAGCAGGACCCCTGTCCGGAAGTATATGACCAACAACAATAACAACAAAAAGCACAAACTATGGTATTTTTGGAGCTGTTTTTTTCTGTTGTGGTTATTTTTTTTTTGTCTTACAATACTTTGAACTTTTTTAACCCTACAGACCTTTTGCTTATTATCTATTATAGTTACTAGTTTTGTTTTTATGGATTTCCTTTGTGTGTTAATATGTGTCTCAGTACCCCTTACAGTGGAGGAAGGAATCAAGCTTCCAAGATGGCAGCGTCTGAGAAGCGGACGGCTAAGGAAGGAGGCAGGGGTCACTACGATAGCCACTCCTGCAAGGCTGCAGTCTCCACTCAGCGACAGCCCTCACCGCCCCTATTGCAGGTCCCACACCCGGCTCCAGACCACCTGCCTCAAAACAACACACTGCCTATCATAGCCATAGAGAACATACTCAGCTTTATGTCCTACGACGAAATTAGCCAGCTCCGCCTGGTTTGTAAAAGAATGGACTTGGTCTGTCAAAGAATGTTGAATCGGGGTTTCCTGAAAGTGGAGAGGTACTGCAATCTATGTCAGAAGCAAATTAAAGCACAACTGCCAAGGAGAGAGTCAGAAAGGAGAAAGCATTCTTTAGCTGGTCATGCATACATCCTTGCTGTCGTGGAAATGAGGCTGTCACTGCTAAATATGACTTTCATGAAGTATGTGGATTCCAACCTCTGTTGCTTCATCCCAGGAAAGGTGATTGATGAGATTTACCATGTAATAAGATACGTCAACTCTACCAGAGACTCTCTGCGAGCCCATGAAGTACTACAAGAATTGCGGGATATCACCTTCATGGCGAGGAAGTACTTCAATGAGAAGATTGTTCCTATCCTGAAGAGGAAATTGCCAGGATCAGATGTGTCTGGAAGACTCATGGGCTGTCCTCCAGTTCCTGGACCATCTGCAGCCCTGATAACAATGCAGCTCTTCTCCAAGCAAAACCCTTCAAGACAAGAGGTTACCAAACTCCAGCAACCGGTTAAAACCAACGGTGCTGGCATGACTGTCCTCAGGCGTGAAATTTCTGAGCTCCAAGCCAAAGTGCAAGAACAGCAGAAACAGCTTCAAGACCAAGAACAGAAACTGCTAGAGCAGACCCAGATCATAGGTGAACAGAACGCACGGTTGGCAGAGCTGGAACACAAGCTCTGAGAAGTCATGGAAAGTGCAGTAGGAATATTTTCAGGGTCTGGGCAGAGTGAGGAGTCTCCTCAGAAGTGAAGGAAGGCAACAGAAACCATAGACTCTCTTAGGAAATCCAAATGACTTCAGAATAGAAAGTAAATTGGAATGTGGCTGTAGCTCCAGAGGAAGACATCCATGGTTGGGAGTTTAAGCAGTTATTCCTGTTAGGAGGCTGGAGAAACAAAGCTTCCCTTAAGCTTCCAAGTGAGAACACAGCTTACACGTGGCTCTTGAAGTTGGCGTCCTTCTCGAGCTTCTCTGGTGGAGCCCATGTACAGAATCTCCTTACTTTGCAATACACCTGTACTAACCAGACCCGTGCTATCATGTTTGGGACCCAAAGTTTTTCCTTTAGGTCCTGCAGGTGATGTGTTAACTTTGTTTGTTTCAGCATATATGCACATTACATACCCCTTCTTGACAGACTAAAAAATAAGTTTAATACATAAAATGTCCTGTTTACTTGAAAGAAAAAAAATCTACTTTTTAAATGGACACTATCATTTCTTTTTAAGTTGACTTTTTGTTTGTTATAAATGATCTTTGTCTGGAATGTCTGAGAAGTAGTTAATAATTTGGCATTGAAGTGATGGGTAACAAAAAGGGCTACATAGTGTTGAGTGTAGCAGGGGCTCTACAGTATTATCTATTTTTATAAACTACTGGCAAGGGGTGTTTCCACTTGCTAAATACATGCTTTCAGCTTTCTTGGGGGCCATGCCCTACATTTGCATGGATGGATGAATGCATTGCCTGGTCAACACATTTCACAGCTCTTGCACTGGTGTTGATCATTTATTAGTTTAAGCGCTTAACATGGTCCCCTGCAGCAGCTTGCCTGTAGGGGGAGAATCATCAGTCCTGTCTGTTTGTCCTCTGGTTTTGCAGACACAAAAGACTGTAAAGTCCATTGATGTGTCTTTTCTCTGTAGGGTTCAGGTACACTGGCTAAGACAGAACCCCATATCCAAGCCTCTTTCTGTAGAAGTCAGACCTCTGGGTAGTAGGCATGATCCTGACTTGTCACTGTGCTCATAGGTCAGTCACGACTGAATAGGGACCCAGCTGAAGGAAAAAGTTCATTGAAGAAAATTGTACTGTGAGAAAGCAGTTTCATCATTTCATTTCTGGGGCATGAACTCATTTTCTCAGCAGGTCTGTCTCACTTTTGCAATCCTAAGACATAGCCACATCACTGTAGCCTTGGAGGTGACTTGTTGGGCATTCGGAGCTTGACTTTATCAGTCTACTGTTCTGGTAGAGGACGACTTTCTTAAGCATCAAAGTACAGGCTTTAAAAGTCCTTGTGCATCAAAGAAATGATCCTCAAATTACTTCTTCAATAATTTATTTCTCAGAATTTTTTCTCAAACTCCATCTAACTACCCTAAATGTAATTGCTAGTCTTCCATTAGTTACTGTGCATGCATGGCTTTCATAATGAATACTCATGGTAAGAAGGGACATGTCTGCTGGACGCACTTGCGATCTCCTGCCCATCAGATTGAGTCGTACTTGTTCAATGAGTATCTGTAACTAGGTATAAAGTACTACAGCTCACTTGGCTTAAGCTTTACTCGGAGTAGCTAACACATGTTAGGAAGTTGTCTTCACCTTTCAACACAGTTCTTTGGGATAACATAGCAGCATTTAGAGTTTTCCAAATCATGCATTATATTAATAGCTAAAAACTGACTTGTCATGGGAAAACTTAAGCAGCCTCCTGAGAGAGACCTCTTGCATTTCCAAGCAGAAGCTTACATGCTTGCTGTAGGTGGTTTACAGCAGCTTTCATAAAATGTTCCACGTAAAAGCGATTCCTCTGTTTGAATGGGTTATCCCCATGTATGAGTTTACCCAAGGTACACACTACTCACAGGCATACAAACATGACGAGACATGCATGGGAGATGAAGAGGATTGGCCCCTGTCCTGTAGAGCCCTACTCACCTTCTACATAGACTGCTCAACTGGTTTCCAACCTATGAGGGTTACAGAAATTGTTCAAGCTTCCCTTCTGATGTGGAGAGCCTAGAGGTAATGGGGCAATTAGCAATAACCCTAATGTTGTAAAGACTGTTGGGGTGCCCCAGATTGAAAGCCAATAATTTGGAAACAACTTATTTTGTAAAACATGGATTTTTTTTTGAGTACTTAACTTCACAGGGGCTTGCCTTAATTTAGTAGTTTCAAGATGTATGCACTAATATTCTATGTGTTGAAATGTTAAAATATTCTATGTAGCCCTGAGAGTGTGTAAAACAAGAGTTTAATGCCTAAATAAATAAGCTAAAAGGTGTCAAAATATGTCTCGGTATCTGCAGGAGTTTCCTGTACCTTTTCTTCAGCTTTTGATTTTCTGTTTGTTCTATTATGGTAAGATTTTATTTTATCATTTTTAGATGCATATTTGTATTCTAATGAGGAAGGAAGAATGAAAGGGTATGGTTGTGGGTGGGTTCTCAATTGGGGAGGATCTGGGAAGCGATGGGGCAGGAAAAACCATAATCAGAATATATTTTCAGTAAAAAGTGGGAAAATAAAATTTAAAATAAGATAAAAATGCCAAATATATCAGTAAGATGAAAAATACCAAAATAAACAAAAGAGGAGTCAACTCATAGCATTGGAATGACTATTGATAACATTGCTGCAACCATAAAGCAGAGTAGTCACTTGTAATAGAAGGGAAGCAATAAAAATATTGATGCTGGACATTGTGCAGAGAGTAAGCAACTTAGAAGCACTCATCCCTAAATGGAGTATCTTTTTCAAACTTCTCCCTTTAAGGCTCAGAGATCTATATGGGGGTGGGAGGCAGTGGCAGAAAGATTTTAAGAGCCAAGTTGGTGGATGACTCAAAGAATCAGTGTCTTCCAGACAGAACTGGACTGATATAATTATGACTTCACAGAGACTCTGATGGCATTAACAACACCTGCCCAAGTTCAATCAGACAAAATCAAGCATTGAGAAGAAGTGGACACAAAGTCCCACTCTTAACTGAGAAGTTGTTTAGAATTGATAACCACTGAGTGAGGGAAAATCAGTTCTCTCCAGTGGATTGTTACTGGGTATGTCAAACATACTCCAGAACAGGACCCATGTCCAAAAATGAATACTTGTCCAACATACACACATGCATAAATACACACACACACACACACACACACACACACACACAGAGAGAGAGAGAGAGAGAGAGAGAGAGAGAGAGAGAGAGAGAGAGGCATAAACACATCTTAATGTATCAATTTCCCTAATACTTTGAATTTTCTACTGTACTCCAATTCCTCTTAGAAATTAACTATGTAAATTAAATTATTTGTAACTTGACTCTCCATGAACTACCCTATTAACACTTTAAAGTTAGGTTCTTTATGTCATATGCAGTATTATTTATCTCCTTGCTGCAACAAATTGCCTGCCTGATAAAACCAAGATAAGGAAGCAAGGCTTGAGTTTGGTTCACTTTTAACTGGTCTGCTCTTCATGGTAGTCACGGGGGCAAGACCTTTAAGCATATGGTCTCATTATAGCCACAAGGAGGCAGAGGAATGAATGCTAATGTTCAACTTGCTTTCTTGTCTTTATCTAGTCCAGGACATCAGCCCATGGTACTGCCCACAATTAAGAAAGGTTTCCCCACCTCAGCTAACCTAGTCTAGACCATTCTTCTTAGGCACTCCCAGATGGCAAGCTCATGTAGAGAGTTCCTCCTGATATGCCTAAAAGTCTTGTTTTCAAGGTAATTCTAAATCCTTTCATGTTGGCAGTTTTAACCATCACACTTAACTAACATAAAACAGCATGATATTCTTTCCCAAATGAGGTAGTAAACATCCTCTTGCATACTAAAGCCTGGTGACATCATCCTACATTCTCTCTCTAGAATTACATGGCTTTGGGAAAAATTAATATGCTACAATACTAAGCTTGCTTTGTCTTATCCAACTCATGTAATGTCTAAGTTTCAGTTGTTCCCTTTATCAAGTCATCTGTGAGAACTGCCTCCTAAGGTCATTGTGAAAGCTAAAGTGACAAACACCAGGTGGTTACTGCAGAGTCTGGCTTCCTACAAGTGCCTTCATAGAGTTCGCAGTGGGAGATCTGAAATCTTGTTCTTTTTCTCAATTTGGAAATCACTGACTTTTATTTGCTTCAT